TCACGTCCATAAGTGTCCGGCCAGACCCCGTATGTGCCTGGCACTAACATCTCACTTTCAACCGAAGGAAAGTGGTAGGGTTGCAGGTCTTATCCCAGAGTCTACGGAGAGACCTCACATGGTCCCACACACACCCCATTCTTCTGCATGTTGGAGATCCGCACTGCCGCCCGCCCGTGTCTGCTTCCTTCCCAGCCACGTGAGAACCAGCTGATGCGTAACCGGCCTGTGGCCTGATCTCCACGGGGCTCCTGGGTGGCGCCTGGCTGCGCCTGCTGCAGGCTGTGAGCTCTCAAAAAGCACGGGAGTCTTGCTTGTTAAAAATGCAGGTGCCTGGGGCCGCTCAGACCCGTGGGACAGGGCGTCTTGGAGGCAGGAGCCCACCTTTTCACCAACCTGCCCACGTGTCTGTGACGTGGACCTCTGCCCTGGCATGGAGCCAGCATCTGCCCAGGTTGTGCAGGCCGGGAGGACTGGGGGCACCTTGGCCACTCTGGCTGCCCTGAGCCCCAGGGGTGGGCAGCCTGGATGTGCCCAGCTCATTCCTGACTCCCGGTCCCTCACTCCGTGAGAGATGGGGACACTGGGAAATGCGTCCAAGCGAACACTTCTGGCTGGCAATAAACCCTCCAACCCTTCCTGACAGCAACCTCCCCTCCCCAGACTGACGCCCCGCCTCTTTCACCTCCGGTCTCAGGCTCCCCGCCTGCTGCTCCTGAGGCAGCACCTCTGGGACTTGCTGTGCTAACTGCCCCTCCATCGCCCACAGACTCTGGCCGAGATGTGGGAGCATGCCCTCTGTCAGGGGGACGCCAGCCCCTCCACCTTGCACCGGCAGGGTGATGACTGAGGCGGAGAGGAAAGGAGGTGCGCTCCAGCCCCACCCCAAGCCCACGGCCCCAGAGTCGCAGAGCAGGTCTAAGACGCCTCCCACCACATCCCAGGCACCAGGTCCCAGGCAGGGCTGGGACAGTGCCCCGCGTCTGCAGGCTCCAGAGCCTGGCTGGGGAGTCTGGCTCCTCCAGGGGGTTCACCTCTCTGAGCCGCTCAGCTGCTACTGGCCACCAGGTGGCGCTAATCGACCAGGAACGGGGTTTGGTGCAGGGTCGGGGAAAGGGAAAGCCTTTGTTGATTTTACTTCTTGATATTTCTATAATCACCAGGATTACAATCTAAGCAAAAAAGCAAAACAAATAAACACTTCCCCTCTTGCTGCATCTTTGGTCTTTGTCTGGAAAAGGATGAGAGAACAACAGAGGCATTGACTATACAGCCCAGGGCATGGGTGTTGTAGCAGGGAGGGCCTGGGGGGCCCTGGAGACCCAGGCTCTGGTGGCTTAACATGCGGGCGAGGAGCTCCTGGGAGAGGCAGGCGCCTGCTAATTAGCCTGCTCCTTTCTAGTCTCTGCCGCCAGAGACATTCCTCAGCAGGCGGAGTTCCCCTCTCCAGCCACTGGCCTTGCCGGGGCCCTGGGGGCTTGTTATGCTGGGCGTGCAGTTGCAGAGGCTAGGAATGTGCTCCCTGAGAGCACATGGGGAGGGGCTGAGACCCTGGCTCCCCAAACACCAGGAGGCTGCAGGTGCTCCAGGACCACAGGTGACGGGTGACTCAGGATGGCTGGGAGCCCGGAGAGCACCCTCAACCCCCACACTCAATATGGGCTCCACCCCCTTCACCATGACCTCTACCCACTTCCACTCAACATGGCCTCCATCCCCTCCACACTCAACACGGCCTCCATCCCCTCCACACTCAACACAACCTCCATTCCCTCCACACTCAACACAACCTCCAACCCCTCCACACTCAACATAACCTCCATCCCCTCCACACTCAACACACCCTCCATCCCCTCCACTCTCAACCCGGCCTCCATGCCCTCCACACTCAACACACCCTCCATCCCCTCCACTCTCAACCCGGCCTCCATGCCCTCCACACTCAACACACCCTCCATCCCCTCCACTCTCAACCCGGCCTCCATGCCCTCCACACTCAACACACCCTCCATCCCCTCCACTCTCAACCCGGCCTCCATGCCCTCCACACTCAACACACCCTCCATCCCCTCCACTCTCAACCCGGCCTCCATGCCCTCCACACTCAACACACCCTCCATCCCCTCCACTCTCAACCCGGCCTCCATGCCCTCCACACTCAACACACCCTCCATCCCCTCCACTCTCAACCCGGCCTCCATCCCCTCCACCCTCAACACGGCCTCCAGCCCCTCCACACTCAACACAACCTCCATCCCCTCCATACTCAACACAACCTCCATCCCCTCCATACTCAACACGGCCTCCATCCCTTCCATACTCAACACGGCCTCCATCCCTTCCACACTCAACACAACCTCCATCCCCTCCACACTCAACACGGCCTCCATCCCCTCCACACTCAACACAACCTCCATCCCCTCCACACTCAACACGGCCTCCATCCCCTCCACACTCAACACGGCCTCCATTCCCGCACTGAGCACGTTTCCCACCAGGTGGGCAGGATGTGGCACAGAGCTCGTCAGACCTGGGCGGGGAGGACCCCACCTGCCCAGCCCTCTCTCATGCACTGGCAGTTGGCTGTGCCCAAGGCTGGTGCTTGCTCAGAGCAGCTGCATTGGAACAGACCCCAGTTTCCAGGAGGAGACATGCTAAGCTTTAGGTCCCGTTCACTTGGATTCTATAAATGCCAACCCATGGACAGGAACTGAGCTAACACTCAGCCCTGAGCTGAGCAGGTCTCCCTCCGTGGAGGTCTGACGGGGGCACCCGGCTTGAGCTCAGCTCCACTCAGCCCCGAGCGACGCACACGCAGAACCCTAGTCCCCAAAGTATGTTAGGATGGTAGTGCTTAGCAAAAGACTATACTTCCCAGACTCCCTTGCAACCAGGGGTGACCATGTGACCAAATCCTGGCCAATGACCTATGAATAGAAGTATGGGCATTTGGGCCCTGTTCTTAAGGGGAAAATGATTGCCCTCCACTTTCTCGTTTCTGCTTCCACTGGTTGGAATGCAGTTGTGACGGTGGGAGCTGGAGTTGCCATCTTGGGCCACGTGAGAGAAGGCGACGTCCTAGGAACAGCAGAGCGACCAGCTGGTGGGAGCCCTGATGGCGGATCCCTGACACTGGGCTGCCACATCAACCTCCAACTGCTACGTGGAAATCGCCTTCTCGCTTATGGAAGCCTCCAGTCTTTTGGCCTTTGCCTCGGCAGCAGGGCTCGCATCCTAACTGCCACGGAAGGGATTGCAGGGGACGGAGAGGAAGTGTTTGGAAGCACCTGGGGGATTCCTATCAGATATCACATTTTCCTGTTTCCTCTTTTAACCTGGAGGAGGCATCCCTCAGGGTGCAGGTGGAAGGCAAGCCCCCAGGGACCCAAGGACACAGCTGCAAGAATCAGGGTGGGCTCTCCGTCCCTCTGGCTTCCCCGGGAGTTTGTGAGACCCCAGAGCTGAAGACCACGAGCCCCATCTCGCAGCGGCCGAGGCAGAGGCTGCAGGTCCGAGCTCCCCTTGCCACTGAGAAGACAGCGTTTTGATTAAACCACTGACAACTCTGCTGTGGGGCAGAGAAATTGGGAAACATCAGGAAATCAAACTGTGAAGTCTTTGAAGGAATGTGATTTATGTGGAAATGTGATGAAGCTAATGTGTTTGGCTCCAGCGCGGGTGGCACGCCTGCTTCTGGAACCGAATCTGACGCCTTCCTGGCTCGCGGCGCCTCTGCTTCCTGAGCACCCGGCCGTGCCCTGCCTGTGCCCGGCCCGGTCGGCACCGAGAGCTCTCATCCCCCCACTTCCGGGCCCTGTCCCAGGCTGCGTGTCTGTGACCGGAGCCACGCACACACGTGCACTCTATGTGTCTGTGTGCCGCTGGGCTCCCGCCCCAAACCCCAGAGAACCCAGGTTACGAGCTTTATGGGGGTTTGCTATAGTTTTACATGATTTGCTCGATGCACCGCAGACTCGAGCAGGCCTTTGGGTCCCTCCAGGTAAACGCCAGAGGTCCGGTGTCTACCCTGGGGTTCATGGAGCTTAACCCCCTTGTCCATTGGGAGGGGACGCAGCCTGAGCCCAGAGGCCCCAGGCCACCTGGCTCAAGGTTCCTGGTGGCAGCAGCAGCATCAGGGGCAAGCTGGTCGGAGCCCCTGAGGCCGTACAGACCCCTCTGTCGCTCCCGATCCCCATCCCTGACCTTGGGATGAGGGGGGTCCCCCGATCTGAGCACTGTGGGACTCTCAGGATTAGCGGGCTACTGCAGTGTACCTGGATTTAGCTTGGACCCTCCCAGAGACGGGGCCCTCACTCCTCCGGGAAGGCATTTCCGCTGCTCCCTGTACATGGCGCCCAGCGGCTTCTTCCCCACAGCTCCCTCCCGAAGCGCACGGGCTCTGAGGGACCCGCTCACCCGCTCTGAGCCTGGTTCTCCTGAGCCCAGGTGTCTGGGGGCAGGAGAGGCCATGGAGCCCCACTAGTGGCTGCCGGGAGCCACGGCCCATGGAAATGGGGTGGCAGCCGAGGCCCAGCTTTCTGGACTCACCGGAGCTTTGCGCTCGGTGGTTCGCACACTACAGATGCTTCGGAACGCACCGCTGTGCTGGACAGTGAAAGCCAGCTCGGCCCCATCGTCCCTGTGCCTCCCAGTCAGGGCGCGAGGCCTCCTGTCCAGGAGCAGAGGGCGAGGGCGAGGGCGAGGCACCCAGCTCCGGGCAGTCCTCCCGGATCCCCAGGCCTCCCCCCCACTCCTGCCTGCCACCAGGGGGCAGCGGTCCCCGCTCTCTGGGCTCTGCTCCTCTTTCGTGTTGCTTTGTGCCTCTGAGCCTTGCCTGTCTCACCTGTCACATGGGCCAGACATTCTGTGCCCTGCCTGTCGCACAGGGGGCGTGAGGATCAAGGGAAAGCGGGGTCACTGTGTCACTGCCATCCGAGGGGAAGGGGCTCCCACACCTGGTCCCCAGGGCAGGACCTGGGCGGGCGGCCGCGGCTACTCACACATGGGCTTCAGCTGCCCGATGAGCTCCTCCTTGGTCCATTTCGCCCACTCCTTCTTGTCGGTGTTGATGGAGCAGAGGATGGGGCCGCAGGGCTTGCCGCAGTCCTCGATGGCCGGGACGTTGAGATAGTGCACCAGGACGATGTCGGGGTTCTGGGGGGAGAGCACAGAGACTGGCAGCATGAGGTGGCATGGAGTCCATCCAGGCCCCCCCACCCCCCACCAGCAGGCACAGACCGGCCGAGTGTCCGCACACCCGGCTTCCTCATCCTTGGGGCTGCTGACACGCATTGTCGGGGGGACGCCCTGAGCCCGGCAGCAGCCCTGGTGCCTGCCTTCCCGATGCCTTACCCCCAGCCTACAGCAGCTACTAGAACCGGCGCCAGACACCGCCCAGCGTCCCCGGGGGACACAACTGCCCCAGCGGAGAACCGCTGCTCTACACACGGTGCAACGAAGGGCCACACACGCGGTCAGACCCATCTCTACCCCACACCCCGGACCTTAGGCCTCACGCCAACAGCTGCCCGGGGGCACTGCGCCCGCCGGTGCCCCACCCCCGTCCTCACCACAGCATGACCTCCCGACACAGGAATCTCGCCACCTCTTCCCACGGGGAAACGGGGTCCCCAGGTTGAAGGCGCCCCACGTCTAAGGGACATAACCAGCCTCCTCCTATTCTTTGAGGACAAGCACCACGCTCGCCTCCTCCTCCAGGAAGTACTCCCTGATACCCCGCCCTCTGTATCTCCACCTCTCCCTGTGCAAATAGCCCCGTCAGCAGGGCCCTTCCGAGCGACACCCAGGCAGCGGCCATCACCCACTCACCTGGGAGCTCGGCCGTGGGACCGCCCTGAGCTTTGGAATGGAAAGAATGCTCCCATGGGAACCCTGAAGGCACCGCTTGTCCCCAGATGGGTTGGCCTCGTCCCCCAGACTCAGTTCAAAATGCCCTCGGTCCCCCCCTGCCCGCCACCAGCTCTGACAGTGATGTGCCCGGGCCCCGCGGGGCAGCAGCTTCGATGCGCAGAGCTCACTCTCCGGGGCTTCTCGTGACCCCCAAGGCCAGGCCGGTTTCGTTTGTAAAAAGCAATCGCGTCGCTTTATAACGCCGTTGGAAAGACCCAGAAAAACCTCCCCAGTCAGGCAACGTGAGGGAACATCGAGATGCAGCTACAGACAAGCCAGCTAGAAGGCCCCTTCCATCACTCTTTCCCGGAGCTGTGGCCTCTGCTTTTCCTGCCTGACACCCGGCCACGAGTTCCCCCGAGGCCCGTGGCTCGAGGACCCCGCTGAGGAGGCTGCGTCTGCAGTCACCCTTTCGGGTCTGGTCAGAGCCACGCAGTGAGTGACTGTGGGGTCAATCAATGCGTTAGCAAAGGCTCGAGATGACACGTGACCAGTGCGAGAACGTCGACCGGCGCAATTTAAGAAGCTTTTCAGTAAGTGTTTTTCCTTGCCAACGCTCAGTTACCCAGCAAATCACATCAGCACGACCAGGAGCCGCCCCGAACGGCAGTTTTTCTGGACGGCGGCACTCATGCTCCTTAATAGTGATGAGGACCCGACATCGGCGCCCACGCACTGCGGTCTGAGCACTGTCAGCGTCATCTCGTTTGGTGCCAGCGCTAGCCAGCGTGGGGCGGGCAGGGCGGGGCCAGGCAGGGCCGGGCAGGGTACCCTCTGTCTACAATGAGGGGACTGAGCCCAGAGGAGCTGTGACCTGCCTGAAGCTGTGTGTCTGGCCAGGGACAGAGCCTGGGCCGGAAGCCAGGATTCTGACTCCCAATTCAGGTCCTGCCAAGACACCTGCTGGCCTGTCTCGCTTGGTCTCAGCACTTTCCCGCCTCAACTTCCCTGCATCCTTGCCTTGTGCCCCAGAGGGAGGGGGGCTGCAGACTTGCTCTCCGCATTGCACGGGTGAGATGGCCCAGGACCAGGGGGGGTACACCTGGGTCCCTGCCCTGTGTTCTTCCTGGGACCAGCACACGGCCTCCCGGCTGTGCTGGACTGGGGGCTCCCGCTTGAGCTGTGCCTGGGCAGGTGGCAGCACCAGCTGCTGAGCAAGACGAGGAAGGATCAAAGGGCTGCGGGGCCAGCGGGCTGCCCGCCCGGGGCCGCCTCTGATCCTGGCCCTGGAGTAGGAGCTGGGTCCTGCAGGGGGCACTGGATGGATGTCAGCTGCCCGGGAGACGAAAGACCTGCAGCCTCCTGCCCCAGAGGCCCATGGAGCGCCCAGCAAAGGCTGTGGGAGACCAAGGCGGTAGGACAAGCATGGGAGCCAAGGAGGGCCGCCTTCACCACACACCGAAACCCCAAACCAATAATTCCTGCACTAGAGCACCCCGAACTCTCCTATGTCAGAAAGCGCTGTCCCTCCCTTCAGCGCCCAGCTCCGTGTTTGCATAACTGGCCTCCACCTATTCTTTGAGGACAAGCACCACGCTCGCTTCCTCCTCCAGGAAGTACTCCCTGATACCCCACCCTCTGTATCTCCACCACAGCAGGATGGAGACGGGGTTTGTATCTTAGTCTGTATTCCTCCTTTATCTCCTCAGCCACGGGGGAAGGCCCGGAGCTGTCATGGCATCAGCAATGACCACTGTTCACTTCCATCAGTGGAATTGAGCTACTGACGTTGGACTTCCCGCCCTTCCCTTTCCTTGCTTGCGTGCTGCTGACATCTGGCTTCCGTTTTCTAGTCTATGAGGGGCACAGCACTCCTAGGAGGCTGGGAGGCAGGGCTGGCTCTAACCTCGGCCGGGTCTGAGGCCGCTGAGAATTCGATGGAGGCTGCGGCTACTCCATCCCTCAGCCCCGAAAAATGCCCCGAGGCACAGCGACTCCACCTGTTAGGAGCTCATAGACCAGGGCCCCACATCTGTAACTACGGACTTGGGGGTCTAGCTCTCCTTCTGAGCCTTTTGAATCAGGCACCAGGCCCTTCCCGGAGCCCCGCTCTGGGCTGAGCCTCTCAGCGGCCTTGACACAGTTGGGAGGAAGCATGACCCCTGCAGGTGCTGGGACTGGTTGGGGTTAGGAAGCTGGGAAGCCGGCCTCACGGTCTCCATTGTAACCCCAGATCCTGCCCCAGGCCTGGGTTCCTGCAGCTCCAAGTCCCGGTGGAATCTTAAGTCCCGACTTCCCGGTTTGGGGCTGGTTTGGAGACAGCGTGATCGAGGTATGTTTGGATGTTTGGGGCACACGGCGCTTCTTGGCAACGTTGCAATCTCATCCATTAGTTGTGCATTTTATTGGGTGCTTTTGGCAGAAAAATATATTAGCCATGGAGTCCCAGTGTTGTTTCGGTTCCTGGGAGCGCTCACAGCAACGTCAGATCCCCACTGAGCACCGCTCTGCAGGCGGGGCAGGCGGGCTGCGGGAGGCTCGGGG